TGGTGTCTTGATTGACTCCATAGGGTATACCAAATGCTCAAATTGTCGCAATTGGCTATCGATGTTGTCTGCGTTTCGATTTCCTGGGACGATTCCCTCCTGCAAGATCTGCATGCAGCCATTCAGCTGCCACGCACCTGCCGCTGCCTTCGGATGCCCGGTTAGTGATTTTTGGCATACACAGAGGAGTGGATTGCCTTTGCGTCGACCCAGATGCTCCATTTGGGTATTAATGACTTCTCCTTCGTTGGTATCGTTTGCCTTGGTTGATGTTCCATGCATCGAGACGACACCAATATCATCAACTCCTAGGCTCCAAGTAGCTAAGGCTGCCCTGAGTGGAGATATTGATGAGTCCTGTAGGCGAATGTTGTGAGCCCAGCGCCATTGGGCGTCTCGAACTTTCAGTCTCCTGGATTGTTCTGCTACTCGCCAGGTGGCGCCTGAACTCTGCATTCTCCCCAGCTGTCCACCGATGGACTTTTGCTCAACGTCCGCCACCTCCTCATCGAAGCTTGCGCGGCGAAAATCAAAGTCTAAGAGTGGAGAGACTTTCGCCTCATTATTCTCACGCGCGGCAGTTAGAATGCCCTTTCCAGGAGCGGGGATGGAGCGACCGACTTGGTCACTGGCCATCTGGCTATAGGCGACAATCCCGTGGATCGGTAAGCCCAGCTTCAGGGCCAGTTCGGCATTCATTAAGAGCTGCACACCGCAACCGGCAGATTCAGCGAAACCACTGCGCGAGCTGGCTGTTGGACGAGATATCTCACTGGGAAGTCTTCCTCTAGCCAGCTCCTCTGCACAGTTGGCTGTAGCTTTGATATTATCAAACTCAAATGACAGTTCCTCACGATAGTCATCACAGCCACCGACTATGGCTACTTTGCACTTACCCGATGAAATAGCATCGCAGCCAATATCAAGAGATTCGAGGGCGGTAGCACATGCGCCGACGGGAGTTTTAAGGGGGCCCGAAGCAGACAATAGCAACATGTTGACCCATGCACCCATTGTATTAAGAAAGTGTTCCAGTATGATATCGCCCCGTACTTGACGATCAAGAAACCGATCACGATACATATTCTGAACGACTTTCATGGGCCCGCCTCCTGTACCCAAACAGTTCGCTAACTCGGAAACATGAATGTGTTGATATATATCGTATGGGTCATTAATACCAGCAGATAGAAAGGCTTCTGAGACACAGCAAAGCGCATATAGTGTCGTTTTATCGACCTGTTGTATAATCTCTTCAGGAATACCATAACGTAAAGCATCCCAACCAGTAGGGACTACCCCGGCCACGGATTGATGGAAAGGAATAGTTTTAGCAATCATTAGAACTGCGCCCTTCTTGAGAAACACATGATAGTTGTCAGAACCTGGAATGGGTTGCAACGTGATATTGTTGCCATGCCGTAGTTTGAAGGCTTCTGCGGATGATTTCGAGCACTCAAAAGGCGGAAGGTCCTCTTCAACAGCCACTTCCTGCAAGAATTCCTTCTGGGAAGGGATATAAGTGTCAACGCCATCCGGCTCAATAAGACGTAGACCGGTGTTTGACATTATGTGTTTATGGTATCTCTGGGGAATGTCGTGATCATGTATTGGCTCCTGTGTCTCTTCATCGATCCAGCCAACGTAAGGTCGCGCTTTCCAATCTCCATCAACGTGTTTTATTAATCCCGTCATCCACGCTATCTCTACATAGCCTTCCAAACTAAACCGGCCTTGGTGCTCCATCTCCCAGCGAGTGCGCGAATTACCCCAGGGCCCTAACTCAGAAAAGCCTACCACGACGACCGTACGTGAGAGATCTATCATCCCTTTAAGATTGGGCAACCTCACTGTCAAGTCATCATAGGGCTGCAGAAAAGGGAATGGGAGTTTGATACGGGCACGGCGCCTGCTGATGCTCACCCCAGAATCCCTTGGCTGTTGCTGTTGTGGTCCGAAGAGCACCGAAAGGTGACGGGTGTCTTCCTCTTGCAGGGCCTTTCGTATCAGCGATTCTTCGTCAAGTCGCTTACGACTTGCTGATATATGCTCTTTGATATCCCACATTAAGCCCAAACCTCCAGTGAGATCCGCATAGACTGGAGCTTGTTCAGCAAGTGTAGTAATCTGAGGTGTCATCAAAGCTAGGATGTTAAATGCCATCTCAGCTTGGCTGAACGTAATGACACCCAGCTTTTCCACCTCTTCTGCTATAAGATTGGATGGGTGCATAAGGCCAGTGCCTCTTGTCCAACCTATAACTGCTCCACAAATTGTGATATAAGTTGACCAGCTTTCAGAATAGAATCGGCTCATGAGCGTCTTTAGACCAGCTTTTGACTCTGCATACAGGCCGTCACCGCCAAAGGAGCCCTCGTTACATGACATAGGCAGAACAATCGTTGTTGGTCGGCAGATAATACGTCGTTTCTCCTTCTGTTGCCGAATAAATCCGACGATCCGTAGGAGATTGACCAGCATAGCCCTAAGCGCTAGCTCCTGACGACTTCCCAGTTTATCCAACTCACCCGCTTGGGGAACAGCAGCAAATGGTATAACATAGTCCAGATCGCCGTCTATGGGGGAATCAGCACTATATATGTGCTCAATGAGGTATTCACAGTCCCGTTTACTCGCCTGGTTCATTGGAAAGACCATCAAGGACGCTCCTCTAGCGCCATACTGACGGTACATCTTTTGATAAAAACTTGCACTCTCAGAGATTGTTCGACTTGTGGTGACAACTACACGAGCGCCACCGCACAAAAGACCCTGGACTACCTGCGCCCCAATCGAGTCAGGGCCAGCACCTGTTACTAAAACAGTCTTGCCGGCATAGCTAAGGCCAGTGGTAGTTCCGGCGCCTAGAACTGCATGCAGTATTCTGGTTGCATCCACGTCGTATTTCCAGCCACCCTCGTTCCTTCTAGATTTAATATGCACAAAAGGTATCATTGTTCTGAGGTCATCGGCGCATAACCGTCCTTGGTATACAACGTCCGGATAGGAAGACACTTCCCGGGCCATCTCCATATACCCTAGTTGACCTGAGCAGCTGATGGTGGTTTTCGGGCCTAAGGCCGGAAAGGAATAAATGTAGACGGCTTCACTCGCTAAAGCCAAGTTTCCTAGACGTAGAACCTCCTTTAACACAAGTCGAATATCAGAACATGAGGATATCAACTGCGTTTGATATTTGACAGGATGAGGCGACTTGACAATAGCCTCGATAATATCGTTACAGCTTCGATCCCAGCGGTTCAGCATCCTGCGCAGGTGGTTGCCTTGCCTTAGAAGAGCCACATCTACCGGGTCTGAAGCAACCTTTTGTAACCATTGGAAAAGCTCTTCCCTGGCCCAGTTCCACCAAGAGTCGTAGTTCCGAGCCTGGCTGATATCAAAAATCGACTTTATACCTTCAGAAAAATGAGTATCGAATTCAGTATTCCATCTCTCTAATGTTTCTTGATATGTCGTATCTAGCGGCGGTTGTGCCGAAGCGCCGAGGTCTATCTCCAGATACTTCGCAAGTATATCAAATTGCTTACGGTAGTAGGTTCGCTGCTGTTCATGAATGATCGGACGACCAGAGGAGCCTACAGCAGACGGCATTACTTTGCTCTGGTCAATATATAGACCATCGGCAGGAGCTAGAGAAATCCCTTGAAACAGCGCGTACCGGCAGATTAACTCATCAAGGTACTCTTGTGCAGCATCTGCATTTGCCAAACGCGCGATTGGCTCGATAGTAATCGCAAGGCAGATGGGGACGAGAGAGTGAGACTTGGAGAAGCCCCAGCGAGAGCATATGTAATCCTGCATGGAGATTTGGTTAAATCCAGCGGGCATTTTTCTTGATATTAGCCTGGCGATTAGAGTGGCCATTTGTTTGGCTGGCTTTCCAACAAAAATACCTTGCAACGCTTCTCCTAATGCAACCAAGGTCATATCTTCAACTCCCTCCGGCACCCTGCCGAATTCAACGACCAGGTCTCCTACCAGCTCATTTTGTAATGTGGATTTTCCTAACTAATTAGCTCTAATTCATCAATTGAACGGAAACATCCATACCACCGGATAATTCGCGGATAGTCTTTCCCATGATAACTTTATCGAACGGTCGTCGTAGCTTTTGAGCTGTCATGGCAAGCGCAATATGGCTACTTGATAGGGATACGTCATGGCTGGGTGAAGCCCTTGAGGTAGGCGCTTTAGGTGGAACGCATTGTCGTGGTTCTCGCAGAGAGCCAGGAGGCGAAGGTAACAAAGATATATCGTGTGCAGTCGACGGTACTGTTTTGTCTTTCTCGTCCAGCCATGGCTTAGAGTCTGGGTAATTGTAGAAAACTTCGTCATTGTCGTCTTGATACGAGAGAAACTGTAGGTGCGACCATTGTGAATTTGCGTAAGACTTATAGTGTCTAGCAGCGGATCTTTTAGCCATGGTGGCAAGCGTAGTACGCGGACCCACTTCAACGAAACGACGTATAGGAGGGCAACCAGTAATCAATTTATGCTGTGTTTCGATCCTAGGAAATTTAGCTGGCGATGACACATAGGGGCTGACTAGACTCACCACCGTACAGGAGAGGCTAGTTGATATCTACCCACTTAGTATAATCAGCAAACTAAATCAGCAGAGGAACTCACGCGAGCAATTCAATAAGCAATTTAAATGCTAAGTGACTTCTATCCTTATTCTCATAGCGCCCAACTGAGCTCCGGTCCATGATCATATTCGAGTGCAGGGCCATAGTGAACAGGTCGCTCCACAGGGCTAGTCTCAATTAGCCTGCAACCCCTAGTTTCACGCGACGGACACGGGCTTTCCAGCAATGATATGAGAGGTAAAAACTGATTTGCCACGCGAGTGACCCTCAAAGGTTAACAATGAGAATTGTTTCAAGGCAGACTTCAATTGTTCAAGCATATTTGAGCTTTAACTCTGGCCCTCACTCGCAGATATACCTATTCCGGTCCGACTGAATCAAACTTAAAGAATGAACAATCGCACGGATAGAGACAACAGTGCGGTGTGGGGTGACACAAAGAAAAACTCCGTCTGTGAAACTCCGGCGGCGAGAGCGAGAGCGAGCTATATCAACTGTAGCTTCTCGACTACCGCCGAACTTCATTCACAGATAGGGAGATTTCCGCGCATTCATTGAGTGATTCCAAACTGCAACCTGTCCATCTATCCAACACACTGGCGAACATGTAGGTATAAAGTGATGAGGATCTGGCCCATTGGAAATTGGCAGCAGGCTGATCTGTTTCAGTATCGCATACATATTCACCTTAATTAATCACATCTTTCCATGTCGTGCACGATCTTCTTTCCTGTGCTTCTCTGGTAGGGGAAGATCGGTATACATATGGGGTCGATATTACATTGATGGAACATTTATGCTGGCAGATACTCCGCTGAAAAAAAAGAAGATGGATAGGAGGGTAGAGATGATGGAGGAGGAGACTGTTCCCCTGTCACCTGACTCCGCAGCTACTGTAGCCCTGGAGTCTCCGTCGCTGTGCCACCCATCGTCCTCCAGTATCAGCTTCAGCGTGGAGTTTCAGCACAGGGACATAACATTTTCTCTCACCATTCCAGGCACCTATTCTGCTCTCCATACCCTACAGAGAGATGCGTTTCTTCGTTCAATATCATTGTCTGACACCGAGGATATAAAGCAACCCGTGGAATTGGCGCTAACTTATATCGAGTTCCTCCTTTCTCAGAAATGGATTGCAGGATCGGCTCTGGCAGTCGTATTGGAGGCATTTAACATTGAGTTTGTCGGAAAAAAAGACATCCATTCTCTTATTGCTGAACTTACGTCGAGATCTGAGCAACGACGGCGGTGGTTACGCATATATTACGATGCAGTTAACCGTGGGTATGAAAACGGACTTGAAGATCATGGCAAGGGTGCGGGACATATCCGAAGTAGCCTTTTTCACAATGTCGAGACGAATCAGTTTCAAGTTATAGCACTGTTTGGAGGCCAGGGAGATGCGAGTCACACGTGCGTGGAGGAACTTTCCGAACTATACAACACATACCAGTCGATGCTCGAGGTCTTTCTACAAAGAATGGGCTCGAGGCTTGCCGAGCTCTGTCGTCTGCCACAGTGTCGGTCATACTATCAGCGACGATATTTGGACATCGAGGCTTGGATGACAGACGCCACTGTGGTCCCTGAGAGTGCCTTTGTGGCCAGCGCCCCTGTTAGCGTACCTGTGATTGGATTGTTGAGTCTCGCTCGATACATCGTTACTTGCCAGATATTGGGCATATCCCCTGGGAAGATGCGAACACTGCTTTCTGCTACCACGGGGCATTCCCAGGGCCTTTTGGTATCAATTGTCGTTGCTATATCGGACTCATGGGAGTCACTTTACGATAATAGCAGATTACTGATGGATGTTCTGTTCTGGCTAGGATGGGAGTGTCATAATTGCGCGCCTCGAATTGTAATCCCTGCGATGTCTACTAGACACGAAGAACATGACGTGGATTCCGATACACCATCATACATGCTTAGTGTTCGAGGGGCAACACGATGCCAAATTGAGGATATACTGATCCACATAAACCGTCGCTTGAGGCGAGAAGCAAAGCTGTATCTGGCGTTGGCAAATGCTCAAGATCAATTCGTTATTGCCGGTCCATTTTCATCTTTATTGCATCTAACCAGCTACCTCCGAGAAGCCTGTACCCCTGGTTCAAATCAGAGTCACATCCCATACAGTAGCAGAGGGCCGTCTCTCCAGCATAGCTTTCTGCCAATCAGCACACCTTTCCACACGCCATATCTTCGTCCAGCTGCGGATTCTTTGAAAGAGAGGTTTTCAGATAGACGAATTCTCCCGCAGCAACTGGCCATCCCAGTATACGACATCAGGACTGGTCATGATATCCGTGCTTCGGATGGGAACGTCCTGCATTTGGCATTTGATGCTATTGCCCATGAAATTTGCGATTGGCCCTCTACGCTAGGCTGTTCACCCAACGTCAGTGCTCGCCAGCTCCCTGTGTCACATATTATTGTCTTTGACCGTGGCGGTCTTGCTTCATTGGTTAAGAGAATCAAAGAGGGCCAGGGGGTTCGCGTAGTTCAAGGCTCTGACCTGGATTCCCGGGACCCCGAGCTAGGGACCATGAAGGATCTATTCTCTCCCCAGCTACTTGATTCCGCGACCAGACTCCAAACTTGGGGACAGCGCTTCCAACCACGATTGGTCCCAGGACCAAAGATTAGGATTGAAACACGCCTTACGCGGCTTTTGGGCACTCCTCCAATTATGGTTGCTGGTATGACACCCACTACGATGCATTGGGACTTCGTTGCAGCCATCATGAATGCAGGGTATCATGCTGAGCTGGCTGGGGGAGGTTACCATAGTGCCGACAGTATGGCTTCAGCCATCGATCAGCTCGTCAAGAATATTCCCGCCGGACAAGGCATCACCTGTAACGTGATTTACGCCAACCCCCGTGCTATTAGGTGGCAGATGACTCTTTTACGTCGTTTATCGCAGGAAGGTATCGCGATCGACGGCTTAACCTTTGGAGCGGGTGTCCCTTCGCTAGAGGTAATCACGGAGTACATTCAAACGCTAAATTTACAACATATCGGTTTTAAGCCTGGATCAGTGGCGGCCATCCGAGATGTGCTTAGTATCGCCAGGGCTCACCCAGACTTTCCTTGTATCCTCCAATGGACTGGTGGGCGTGCGGGAGGGCATCACTCCTGTGAAGACTTCCATGCTCCCATACTCAGTATGTATGGACTATTACGGCAACAACCGAACATTTATTTGGTCGCTGGCAGTGGGTTCGGGAGCAGCGGCAGCATCTACCCATATCTTACAGGCTCATGGTCAGTCCAGATGGGATATGCGTCCATGCCTTTTGACGGAGTCCTTTTGGGTAGTTGCATGATGGTTGCGAAAGAGGCTCATACAAGCAAGGCTGTCAAGGATGTTATTACGTCGACATCCGGATTAGACGACAATGATTGGGAAATGACATATGATGGACCTGCCGGGGGAGTAGTTACAGTGAGGTCGGAAATGGGTGAGCCAATACACAAGATAGCAACCAGGGGTGTGCGTTTGTGGGCTGAAATGGACAAGACTGTTTTCAGCCTCCCCCGACAAGACCGTGTCGCGTATTTGAACAAACATCGTGTTACGATAATCCATCGCTTGAATGCCGACTTCGCAAAGCCATGGTTTGGTCGCAACCCACAAGGGACTGTACTTGACCTGAAGGAAATGACATACGCCGAGGTGATGAATCGGCTTGTGGAACTAATGTATATTCGTCATCAAAAGCGTTGGATCGATTCGTCTTATGTGGATTTCACATACGCATTCACCGTCCGCACCTTGGAACGTCTGCCGGCGGACCTGAAAAATTCAGAGCCTCTTTCTCGTGCATCACTTGAGCTCAATCCAGCCTGCTTTGTTCGTGCTCTCATCACTGCATGTCCAGCTGCAGCTGCAGAAGTCTTGAATCCGGAAGACGTCTCATTCTTTCTGATGCAAACCAAAAAAGATAACCAAAAGCCTGTTAATTTCATACCCGCTCTGAACGACGACTTTGAGTACTATTTCAAGAAGGATTCGCTGTGGCAGTCGGAGGATATTGACGCTGTAATTGGTCAGGATCCAGGCCGAATATGCATTCTTCAGGGCCCTGTGGCAGCACAGTATACATGTGATCGGGGAGAATCGGCGAAGGAGATCTTGGATACTTTGCTATATTCTCTTAGTGACTGCCTCCAGCGAGATATATGTGCGGAGGAATTGACTATCGGGATTGATAGTGGCTTAGTTACACCGGATTCATGGTCCACAGTCTCTCCCGGCACCAAGGATTTCTTCATGGAGGGAATTTCCACTCCATCTTCCACGACACTCTCTGACTCCAGTGATGATCCATGTGTGTGTTCATTAACATTTCCTTACAGTCCTGATCGAAACGTTCCCGTTTGGGTACGGGCAGTTCTGGAAGATAGGTTTGTCTTGCAGGGCCGGCTGCGGCGACCGAATCCTTTCCGAGAGTACATGGAAAAGTATACCGAATCCGCTATCCAGTACAATTCCGGTCGGTCAGAGATATTTGTAGCGGCTCAAGACACTATGGGTGTCAAATCTTCAATGAGAATCACATGTCAGAATGGGTTGAAGGTTATTGTCGAACTTCAGCCTCCATATAAAGCGGACAATTTGCAGCTACTCTACCAATTTGATCCTAGCAGGGCCACCGTCAGACTGAGCGAGATCATGGAAGGCCGGAACGAGCGCATTAAGTCATTCTATAGTGATCTCTGGCTTGGTGAGCGCGCAACTAACTGTATAGATCTGCACGGCACTTTCGCCGGGCGACCAATAAAGCTTATACGTGAGCGGTTCGAGGCGTTGGCCTTAGCCGTTGGTGTAGCGTTTCCCGACCATCGAATTGTGACATTAGACTCAGACATTCTGCCTATTAGCGCCGGCATTATTATTGTTTGGGATGTGATTTGCCGCCCTCTTGTTCTCTTGAAGGTTGAAGGGGACCTGCTTCGGCTGGTTCATCGATCTAACACGGCCGCATACACTCATGGTGCAGCACCTCTGAGGCTAGGTGAAACAGTCAGCTGTCAATCACGGGTCCAGGCTGTCTATATAGAAGATTCGGGCAAGGTGGTGGTTATAGAAGCCCGGGTAATTCGCTCTGGGGAGCATGTGTTGACAATCACGTCAACATTCCTTTTCCGAGGTTCTTTTGACAACGTGCAAGATACCTTTCGCAAAACAGAATTACCCGATTGGAAGGTAAACGTGGGATCGAATGTAGAAGAGACTGTGCTAAAGTCGCGGAAGTGGTTTCATCCCATCGCTGCTCTACCTTCGCTAGTAGGCAAGACGGTGATGTTCAATATTGAGAGTCACGTTGCGTATAAGAAAAACGGATACACCAGCCTTCGAGTCACTGGCCAGGCACATACCAGGACAGGCTTCAAACTTGAGCATATTGGTGACGTGGATTTCGCATGTGATGATTGTCTTGGAAACCCCGTTTCGGAGTTTCTTAAGCGCAAAGGGATTGAACAAGGCGGCAGAGTAGACTTTGGAAGACCTGGCTGGCCTGGCCCATCATCCTTCGAGGTCCAGATGCCTGCCAGCAACCACGCCTATGCTCAAGTCTCGCAAGATTTCAATCCTATCCATGTCTCAACCATTTTTGCCAGCTTTGCCCAGCTGCCAGGCACGTTATCCCATGGTATGTGCACATCGGCAATTGTGACTGCGGTCCTCGAGCACTTAGTCATAGGGAATGATCGGTCACGCTTGCGACGTTTTTCTACTGAATTTACGGGGATGGTAATGCCTTCGGAGAGGTTGACAGTGCGATTAGAGCATGTGGGAATGGTTGAAGGGCGAATGCGATTTGTTGTAGAGGCATGCCGAACTAGTAACGGAGAAAAGGTGATGGATGCGGAGGCCGAAGTGGAACAGCCTGCAACAGCGTACCTCTTCACGGGACAAGGTAGTCAAAGTAGTGGTATGGGCATGGACCTATACAATAGGAGCCCTAGAGCGAAGGCGTTGTGGGACGAGATTGATGCGCATCTATATGACGCTTACGGTATGCCCTATACTATTCTTGTCGGCATATTTTCACTCACAGGGAAAATAGGCTGGTCGATCCTGGACATCGTCAGGAACAACCCGAAGACGCTCACCATTCACTTTGCGGGGAAACAAGGCCGTAAAATTCGCGGGAATTATCTTTCCATCACAGCGGAAACCGTGCTTCCTAACGGTGACTGTGTGAAAAAGCCAGTTCTGGCAGGGCTCACACCGAAATCAACGTCTTACAGATTCCATGACTCTAGGGGACTCCTGTATGCGACGCAATTTGCACAACCAACGATTCTTCTGTTCGAGACGGCAGCTTTTGGAGAGATGCGTGCTAAAGGTTATGTATCACGCGAAGCGATATATGCTGGCCATTCCTTGGGGGAATACGGTGCACTGTCTGCACTGTCAGAGTTCATACCAACAATTGCTCTCGTAGAGTTAGCTTTTTACCGGGGGTTGATGATGCAGGCTTCTGTGGCACGAGATGATGAGGAGAGCGCAAAGTATGGTATGGTGGCTGTAAACCCAGCACGTGTGGGTAAAAGTAGGTACCCTCTACATAACGTTTATTGGATTATAGGAAGAAGCTGACCAACGCAGGTTTTGATCAAGCTTCATTGAGCACTATGGTCCACACGATCGCTGCTGAGAGCCGGGAATTGTTGGAAATCGTGAATTTCAACGTGGATGGGGAGCAGTATGTGTGCTCGGGCACGGTAAGTTGCCAACAATTTCCCCGGCGATCGCTCAATTCTAACATGGTGATCCTCAGTCAACCAATCTCTACGTGCTTGGAAAATTGATGGACCATATCGCACAGTGTCCCAATGGGGCAAAACAAGTACAGGAGATGATGGACTCCACCGACGCGTCCACGATGGAGCTCCACACCATAATCCGCGACCTCCTGCATCATGCCAAGGATCCTCCTCAACCAATTGAACTGCAGCGCGGCCAAGCAACGATTCCCTTACAGGGCGTCGACGTGCCCTTCCATTCCAGTCACCTCCGTTCAACAGTTGATATGTTCCGGCAATGTCTACTCCGGCCAGGGCTTCTGGCCTGTAACATAAATGCTGAAGAGCTAGAGGGGAAGTATATCCCTAACCTAATGGCCCAACCGTTTTCGTTAGACGAGAAGTATATCAGACAAGCTTTCGACTTAACCCAGAGCCCAGTTCTAGGAGAAATCCTAGGCGTTAAACATACGTGTTAAGCAGTCTGGTCATCGCGGCGAGAGCTTGGATATCTTGTTTTCCTTTGCTTCCTGGGCCCTAGTATTCTTTCCTGGTATAACTCTTCACCCTACAATGTGTTCTCCTTTGTCCAATATTCTACCTATACCTCTATAAAGCCGAAGTTGGGTACTGCTGTTGTATAGATAGCTCTAGAGAGACTAGAAGAAAATTTCAGGTGATTGCATTCTTTTCCCGCCATGGGTGCGAAAGCTTCATAAGAATGTAGCATGGATGATATATATAACCGAATACTCCGTCCATAGAACAACACACTTTCACCAGGCGGAGTAATCGTTTACGCAGACTTTTGATATGAAAAGGTGGACGCGAAAAAAGCTATATTTCAGTTTCATTAATTTCTGAAGTTTTATCATGCCCCAAGATGCTTTCTATACGCTACTTCCAATTGTCTCAACATTCCATCGATATCGAAATGCCAGATCTTATGAGACCGGCGTTTGATCTCATCATACCCCTTATCCATATCAGAGCCGCACTGCAGGTCATTCCATTCATAGATCTCACAAGCCTCGCGACTACTCCTCACCAACCATTGGGATCGGTCACGACGCACTGCACTAAATGCTGCAAATGCGGCCTGAAGCGCCACAGGTTTCCGCCCACCCGGAGTCCTGATACGCGACTGCACCATGTCCAACAGAACAGCCAACGCCAACACATCCTCAATGCCAATACCAGCACCGGCACCATGATGCGGTGACGACGCATGAGCCGCATCACCAGCGATACACACGCGTCCGCGCGAGTAGGTCGGTGCAGGATAGTCTAATGAGTCGAAAACACCCCATTTCTCCAACTCAACTGGCAGTAGATCAATTATGTCTCTCACCGTCGGGCCCCAATCCGCAAAGGCGCCCGCTACTTCATCTTTCGTCGCCAGCTGTGACATACTGCGGTCGAGGGGCCAGTCATTGGGGTCCGTAACGAAGGCCGCCACGTTCATGAGTGTCTGCTTGGCGACTGGGAAATGAAGGACATGCGCGTTCGGACCGCCATACATATGCTGGTTGTGGGCGCGGTAGTGACCCAATCGAGCCGTCGCTTGTTCCATGGGGATTAACCCTCGATAGGCTACCTTGTGGGTGTAATGCGGATAGGAGGCGGGATTACCTTCGCCGAGGATGAGCTCGCGCACACGAGACTTGATGCCATCGCAACCGATAACTGGGCGTATATCAACATCATCCTTGCAAGCACAGGCATCGAAATTATTAGAAACTCACCAGCATCCGCCCTTCCAACACTTCCGTCACAAAACCTCAACAAAACCTTGCCCACTTCATAATCCTCGACCCGATCCAACCTCTTCCCTAACCTCACCACACCCCCGGGAATGAGTCTCATAATCTCCTCCAAGAAATGCGCCCGATGACACCCTTCAAACCCCTTTGGCCCCGTCGCCAACTCATAAAGCTTCTTCCAGCTCATATCATCCAGACCATCGGGGTCATGAGTATACCCATCAATAAACTGCATATTATTATTCGGATTCCCTGGGTCCCCGTTCGTCGTAGATACGGCAGCAACACAGTCAACGATACGCTCGTCAATCATCGACATGCACCGTCGGGCGTTGGCCGTGAAGGCGATTCCGGCGCCGGCTTCGCGGGCACCCCGAGCTTGCTCGTAGACTGTGACTTTGATGTTTTTGGCCAGGAGGCCGAGGGTTAGGATTGCGCCGATGATACCACAGCCTATGATGGCTATTTCGAGGGGTTCGTCTTCGATGTCGAGGGGTGGGGCATCGGGGTTCCGGCTGGTTGCTGGGGTTGGGGTACGATTTGTTTGAAATGAAGGGAGCCATGATGGGCAGAGACGCGATAGGATGCTGGTGAGCATAGTGATCATTAGTATATTGTTTTAGTTGAAGGAGTTCTCTTGTCGCAGCCTTTTACGGAGAGAAGAGGTGCGTCGTAATTCTATGCTCGTATGGATTGAGCTCTATGTTTGGGGAGGGGTTCATTGGAGCAACTGTGCTGGAATGCGCTGACTAGCTTCTGGAGTCTGGGTTACCAGTCTTCTACGCTATAACACTTAATGATTGGGGCATTAGTTCATGATATCGGCGTAAATCTACGGAGTATTAAACTGTTCGACGGTGTGTCGAGTCGGGGGGGCTTGAGTGGTGAACGACGGGGTTCAGGAGAGAGTTCGATAAAACATGTTCCTTTAGTCATTCCTGACCTGAACTTGGCATTATGGTCAATTGCCTATTTGTGCGTGGTGTACATCATCACTAGAGCGTCTGCCGGTATACTGACATACGTTTGGGCGATATGTTCAATGGACAATCAATTTCGTGCATAACATTAAATGCTATATCATCTGAATCATTTACAAACACTAGATCAGTCTACCTGCATGTCTTCTCCTATTTGGTGAGCCTGTATAATCTCAACTGGACTTAGGAATCCAGAACTACATGCATACCAAGCAGTGGCAAAATACTTAATCAAAGATGGTATGCCATCTGTCCTACAACGGCTGATGGTACCGGCGGAGATCATCGGATGATCTAAGCGGACGGACGGGAGGGTAGGGCCGGAAGGTTAAACAAGTCGATTGCCCCGTTGTTTCCCTATTGGCTGGGCCATGGCCCTGGTTGCACGTGTGTATGGAGGATTCTAGTTGGTTGGGTTATGGAGCAAATGATTGTATATCAATAAATATATGAGTCATTTTCTTTTCTCCGTGACTCTTGAAGCAAGGCGAGAATGCTGGTGACCGAGAGCCCCAGTCTTTTCGGCTGTTTGCGTGGTTTATAGTACTTGGGTGGTAATGTGAGGAAGGCGCAGCCAATGGGAGCCAGCATGGACGGTCTACATCGTAGCAGCAGTACGACGTTTCTCTGCACTGGTTCATAGTGGAGTGAATCCCGTAAAACTGGCGTAGAGTAATAGCGGAAGGACCTCTGCATGCATATGCAGTCCAAATGGTTAGTTGCACGTAGTAGTAGAACGACAGTTAATCGGGTCTATTTTGGCCGGGGCGGACTTGGTATGGAAGTTCTCAGTTGGACCAACCATGGGGCGATCCATGCTTTTCGTGGTTTTGGTTCTCCACAATGCTGTGTGTGATAAGTGAGACCATCGATGTGGCGACCTTGGTCCAATCTTAGAAGGGGGGATCGGGGGCTTGCTATGGAGTCAAAAAAAAAAAAAAAAAAGATATTGGCGAGTCACTGCAGAAGACTGAGCCAACAAAGCGCGTGCAAGATACTAGAGAAGCATCCAACAGCCAGGATTCGTAGTAGTAACACACGCAACTACTAGCCGGCCGGCGTGTAGCTTATGCGCAGCCAATGGGTTGCCAGACGTGCGGTCAAAGTGAATACGGCGAATGATGTTAAGCAATTGTACGTCTAGCGTGGCTCTATGGAAGAGGTAGTGATTACTCCTATAATATCGTTAAGACCTGGAACGTCTCCTGGCGATGCTGGCTGTCTGTAGCGCCCAACCCCGCTCGGTGAGACATAACAAACACAATCCTGTAGTGACAGAGACCGACGCAAGGGCTTTCCGATTTCCAGATGTTCACATCGCCACGAATATGAGGTAGGTGACAGTCGAGCAGAAAATGAAGCCATTGCCAGTGGGCACGAAGTTGAAGCTGGTTTGTTTTTGCAGTCTCTTTTCCATAATCCATTGCATTGACATCTACCTCAGGAATACCTACTAACAGGCCTACTACGTCTTCATATCCCTGTTCAGCGGCAATGGATAATGCTGTTCCGCCCCACAAATCTCTCCAGTTCAATTTTACATTCAATTGATGATCGGTGTCTACGGTCACTGTTGGATCTTGTTGTCGCGTTCGGTGTAGCAACAACTTTACAGCGGTGAGACTTCCACTCCCTGCTGCTAGTGAAAGAGGGGATCGATATTCAAAACCCCTCCAATAAATATCAATATCAGTTCTAGTCACGAAAATCTCAATTGTGGATGAATGCCCATTCTGCGCTGCGTAACAGAGAGGTGTTTGCCGCCGATCATCAAGGGCATTGACATCTACATCATTTTGCTCAAGTAAAATCTCCACGACATCCGTATGGCCATTTTTTACGGCGTGATGCAACGCCAGTTGCCCCCAAACGTCCCTTGTGCATATATCGGCCTTCCTCGCCAGTAATGCCACTTATCGCTCCTGACCGTTTTCCGCTGCAAGCGACACGGCAGTTTGACCATGTTTATCCTTTTTGTTGATATCTGTTCCGGGCCAGTGCGTCAGCAGATCGAGTATCGACTCCTGGCCGCTTAGAGAAGCAAGATGTAGTAAGGTTTTGCCCATGTCGTTTGTAAAATTTGCGTCAACGTCAATCCGATGTAGAAGTGCTTGGACAACTAAGAGATATCCTCGAGAAACCGCGAGTGAAAATGGTGCATCCATGTCTTCATTCTTCATGCCTGGGGAAGCGCCTCTGGATTTCAAGGCTTGCAACAGAAGCTTGTATTCCCCTTCGCCTGCTAGTATATGGAGTATACTGTTCCCAGACTCATCCCTAATTGAGAAATACACTGGGGAAAGTAATGTCGCGACCTGTGGTAGTGCTCTGAGAAATGAACATAGAGTAGGAAGGTCTAGCCTCCCGGCACCAAGCAGAATAACCTCGTACGGTAGGGCAAGTCCCCTGGTCATCGCGAAGTTAGTGCAAACTTGCTTTGACAAACGGTGGAAGGCAGTTCATAATGATTTTGAAATTGGCTGTTGAGTCCTAGATTTAAATAACGAAGTGCTAGACTTTTTTTTATCTTAAATGAATATAGACGGCGCTGACAGTGACTGCTCGATTCTTGTAACAAAGAACTCTTGCAATGCGACACAGGCTTGCGGCTTGAGGTCTTCCATATTTCATTATATTCTAGTGGCCCCCGTTATAGCTCTTTGTATCTCTTTGTATACCGATCTTTATATATCAAAATGTATGCCGGAGGCACTCGAGGTACTCGTTACTGCGGAAGCGCATGAGCGGACATTTGGTAGACGACGCGGAAGACAGTATCTTCCGATGATAAAGTCTAATTGCTGAGTAGGTGGCCTCCATCTCAAACATGATCTCCAAAGATCGATGGCCAACTTTGCGACACATTCCCGAGGAGTACTTCAAGTCCTCTGCAGGAGGAATTTGCCCAAGATATACCTGGCTCCCTACTCTGCTCTTGCCATGATAACTCAAATTCTCTTAGCTTGCCTTCGAGTTCCGTCTCATTGTAGCCCGTCTGATTCTTCTCACCAAGATACTCCACGAAAATAGACCATCGAGGCTTGTAGTAAGAAGAGATAAGACCCGCCCAGGCCTTAGACGCATAATCGCTGATCTCCCCGGTAGGACCCCACAGAGTAATTTGATTTCGGGCATTATACTCAAAGAAGTCCTTTGATTCCATGGTGTCTCCCCAGTCTCTGGCGCTCGAGATCCAAGTTGACAGGGAGAAGTTATCATTGCATGACAAGACTTTGTCAATTGCCGCTAGCAGATCAAGAAGCCTTTGGCTCCGCGAGGTGAGTTCCGCGGTTCTGCTCTCTCTTGACGACTTCCATGAACTTATAAGGTCGGAATAGACCTTGACAAAAGCGTTTCCCATTAGCTGACGGGTGATATCAACCATATCATATTCATATGCGGGGTTATGCCAGAGTGACGGTTCTTTCCTCGTCGCATTCATAAACAAAGCCCATACTTCATTCAAAACACTTGGATCATAATTAATAGATGTAGGAGTAGGAAAATGACCAACACGACCAGCCAAGCCATTGATAGCCGGCGAAATCGCAAAGATCGACTTTGTAACTGAATATGTCGTGAGATTAGTGTTATTATAGACCGTCTTGCGCATCAGGTCCCACGCCGTATACAGTTCATTCGGTACTGAAATGTTTCCGGAATATCGGCTTCTGACCCAATCTCGAAAGTATGTCCGCGTATCAATCGGTTTCGCCGACCAAGCCTGGTCTAACAGTAAATCATATACGACCTCATTGCCTTCCTGGCCTTCCATGGTGAGCCCGAGCCCTACAAGCGAATTAGATTGATGCAAAGCTTCGATAGGATTCGATGTGATGTTTATTATTTGCCCGTACATGCCCATATTCCCACCGAAGTCGTGTAACTGGCACCAGATCCAGGGCTTTCCGAAATACGACTTGGTTCGTTGCCACTGCGGCTTCGACTCCGAGTAAAGGTCTAGAATGAGCATATCATCATTCCTCTCCACTCCACTCAAGTAGGCTGAGATTCGACTGGAATTCCAAAAGTCCTTCTTATCATAAAACAACCACCCCTGCATCATCCATACCGCAGCGGGATTGACAGTTTTTAAAGTCCGCCAGGTGTGGCGTGACAAGTTCCGAAGATACCCCAGCTCCCCAGAGGCAGGATTAATCTCATTAAACTGATCGAGCGCATAGACATGCGTGATATTTCCAAAGGCACGCATTTGCCTTGAGATCACACTCGTCTGTAACTCGGCAAAGGTCTCATCAAGCGGACTCAAGAACGACACTTCCGTAAACCTTTTTGGAAAACCCGACCATTGCGATCCATTCACCACGGTCGCATGAGGTCGAACACGTTTTATACCAGGCGGTACAAACCCTGGAAAAGCGGGAAGTACAGGAGTCATGCCTAGTTCAACAATTCGGTGGACAACTTTCTTCTGTAGCTCGAACTGTGCGTTGAGCCATGAGATGTTGACTCCGTGGCCACCCCAGGAACCTTGGATGTTCCCGAGTCGGTTCCATGCTTGGAAAGCTGGGCCGCTGAAAAATGGCAGTATCTCCTCGTCAGTCATTCCGATCTCTCGAAGTGAGTCGAGGAGGACCTTCTCGTAGCCGACCCATGCGAGGATTAGATTTACGCCTCGAAGGGCGGCCCAGTCGAGTTCTAGCTCCCAGTCTTCCCATGTCCAGAAGACAGTTGTGTACGAGAATGTTACTGAACAATGTACGTATCAGTACGAAGGCGTTTTATTACTCAAAAATGAATCTGAAAGGGCCATGATCAACGAGCTCTTTACCTGGATTGAGATGGTACCGCCATGTGACAATACTTTCACCCTTAAGCGGCACATCGAGTTTGGGAAGAGATGCCGGTACAGTATGTAGACGACTACCGACAAACCAGTAGATATCCACACGGGCGATGTTACTCAGGTATCGATGCAGACTGCGTGGTTTGTTAGCGGAGCGGGTTATGGTAGAATCGCAGGTTGCGGTTGGAGATTAAATACCCTGCGGCAAGCGCGCTTCGAGAATTTCCTTCCACAAGGATTGAGCCATTAGTCTGTGTTGACACAGTGTACACATCACGATCGCGGTTTCCAGTGCTGGATTTAGGTGCTGAACTGTTCAAAGAGAACACGAAGTTGTCAACCTGATCTGGTAGTCTCCTTCGGACCAGATCGATGATCCCCTGCGTCGGATGCTGTCTACTGACGGCGGCAGTGGTTAGAAGGAGAAACCTGGTCAGTACGATCAACAATAGTGTTGGATGCAACATTTCACTTTAGCCTGTTTATGGCCTTTTGTCGTGTTACCGAATTTCACGTTTGACGATGGTGTACTTGCATGACACGGAGACAGAATGTCGCAAAGTTGTGGTTCTTGCGGTGGCTGAAGGTTTGGTCCTGGGAGTGGTGAGCGTCCAGGGCGCTCCACCGTTGTAGCTTCGATAGTGATAAGTCTTTTTACAAAATAATGGTCCGGAAATAAATTGATCGTTCATACAGCGAATGTATTCACGGGGTCAGCCGAGGATCTTGATGTCAACAGCGTAGATTAGGGTTCATGGATTGACGTAAGAGATGCCAAGAGTACAAATAAACAGAATGGAATGACGTCTTGTAACCAAGAAGTTGAATCATCACAGCAATGCAGCGCCCGATAAACTAACTGGATAAAGATAAAAAAGAATTATCACAGGTTGTTGAGTCCTATCCAATATACTCAACCAATTCCTTCCACATCTCATCCTCTGCCAAAGCCTCAATTTCACTCTCATGCAGACAAAACAGGCCCTCCATACCCTCTCCATGCAACATCGGAGCAATATACGATGAACAAGGCAAAGGCTGGAATGTCGGTCTCCTCATCAGTCCAGGTTGTCCTAGCGGCCCGAAATCTGGAGCCTTAACATGTGCAATAGACGAGCAAGAAAAGTCCGTCTGCAGGTTGAATGACCCGCCATAGGCGATATCCGATTTATCCGGCTCATTAGCGATGAAAGTGACATAGCTACGGAGGGCATATTCATTGCTGATTTCCTGTACGTCTTTGCGGAGGAGCGAAGCAAGCCGGGAGAGGGAGCTTTCGGCGATGTCTTCGAAAGTGAGGCGCGTATTGCAGACGCGGACCATATGGCCTAAGTAGGCAGGGGTGAGTCTCATAATACGACGGAAGTCGACGGCTCGGCTAAGCTTCGAGATTGCGGTGGGGGTTTGAAGTTTCTTTAGACGGATGGTCGTGATCCGTTGCCAGCAGAACGCAGTGATGGCATCATTCAAAGAGACGGACTCCGTAGAGGGATCGAAATCTTCTGGTTTACTGTTTGCCAGATCTTTGATCTTGTTCACCGAGTCCACCGGGAAGGAATAGTACCGCCATTTATAAGGGGCCAGTACATCCGATGGTGGAGGCGCCTTCATAATGACAGGTGGTTTAAGCTCGCTATGATCGAGCAGGGGCTCATCTGCGCCGAGCAATCGAATCAAAGAACGACGATCGCGGTTCCCTTCGTGGAGTTGAAAAAGAGGGAATTGATCCCCACGCAAAGCGGTGGCCAACAAGTTGATGATTTGGAAAATCCCTGTCCCGTCAATGATATTGTGCTGCGCGGCCACATCCAGTAACAATCCGCCGCGAACAATGTTTGCCTGGAAGTCTAGAACAGGAGCCGGGTCCTCCTCTGTGTCCTGGTAGGCTTCCGGAAACGCCACTCGTGAGCTCAACAGGTGCCCCGGCAACATGGATGACGGCCCCCGGGCGGCGCATAGCTCGTCATACGAAGGACATTCGGTGGTGCGATCTTGGACGCGTACGAAGACGTGGTCTTCAGATTCCCATTTTTCGCAGCTTGTGACCTTGAACGCCCCGGAACTTCCAGCGCCACTTCCCTCATTGGTGACTTTCCCAGACAGATACGGAAATGACTTCATCACGAGGCGAACAGCGCGCTCGATATCCTGAATGGCGGCTTCGCGCTTATCACCCTGAACAGGGAAACATATCGACATATGGCTGTAACTTTTGAGAACCGGAAGCTGACCAATGACATCCTGCACACGTTCGAAGATAGACATTCTGATGATTTCAGCCCTCACTGTGACGGACAGCAGACCCGGAGATCGGTCTGGTTATTTGAAGCTGGTAGACTGTGAACTCAAGAGAAGACCAGTAGGCTAAAAGATAACGGCTACAATGTCTGGAAGAATCCAGCTCCAACATAACTGGAACATTGTTTGTTTTCTAAGATAAGACATGGCCGTAGAAATGGATTGGAGCGACCGTCATCTGTTCGACAAACACTAATATTAATATTGAGAAAGCCCGAGCCGCCGGAAACTCCGAGTCCAGTGGCGAGTAAACACTGCGGCTTAAGTCAAGATTAAGACGTGGATATGACTTCATTGCCATGACAAAGGTTGCATGCAGGGTATCTCCATATATGCGAATTCTTATACGTGTTGACTATACGGTCTAGTCCACAGCACAAGTTCGTGGCAATTTGCAACCCCTAGGGCGAAATGAGCGCCATTTCCCGCCCTTTACTCGTGCTCAAGAAATTCGAATTTAGCATTCGATTGGCAGATACAGTACAAGGAATAGAGCGTCCTCTCTAATGCGTACTGGCGCACTGGCGCCATGCCATGCATTGATAGTCGCTCGTGGCTTGTTTGATCGCCGGCCACACATCAAATTTGGCATTCGCTTGCCCAATCAAGCCAGCATGCAATGGCTCACTGCCCCAGGGGCCCCCGAAGTGAGATATCCTTGTCTTCTGCATGAACGAATGGACAGATATTTGTTCTCTTTGACCACAAGGGACGTGCTTGCGGAAGAGGCCTGTGGAGTCTAGATCCTAAAGAGATTTATTGCCAAGTCGTACGTATATCATGTCCTAACCTAGAATGTCTTTCCCCCTTCGTGTCATTTTACCCGGTCGATATTAACGAACGACACGCGTTTATTCAATGTCCTCCCACGCCGTATCAAGTAGAATGACACAAAGACACTCAATAATTACTGGGACATTCATGTACTGTTACTGGAAGTACATGTTTGTTGACCTTGTTGACCTGCCAAGCACGACCGATCACCAATTGGCCTGGAAAGAAAAGCTGACACTAGCAGCATAGTGGTTTTCAGAGCTTACTGTTCAATTGCAGGCACCTGGCTCCAAGGGAGGAACAAAGGGTCACCCATATGGCGGCGACCTAAGCCTGTCCCACCTAGAGAATATGTTAACTTCAATATGTGAAGTAGGTATCACCAGACTCTTCTAAGAAATTCGGCCAGCATGGTGTGGAACAGTGCGATCTAGAATGTTCCTCAACGTCCAAACCATCAGTACTAGGCTTGTGGCTTTGGAAAATGCACAACAGCTGCTTTTCTGCGAACAACTTGAATGGTGGCGAAGACGTCTAACTTCTTCCCGTGCCTGTGCCCGAGCTTTAGTTGGTAAGACACGAACTCGTACTACCGGTCCTGACCAAACCAATACACTGTCCTTCAGACAAACGTTGCAGCTGCATTACATGATACTGTTCGGTCGGAGCACTTGATAACGCAGAACACAGAATGGCGGTCGCCTGCTGAGATATGCCGTGGCTTCATGTCGTTATGTCGAGCCATGAATTAGATATTCAATCCCAGAATGGCTGGAATTGTAATCGCAAAGCGTCTAGTATGGGCGAGTGGAAGGTGTAGAATGCCGATGAACTAAATTAGTTCAATGTCTAGCCTTTGGGTTAGCTTTCAATTTTAGTAGACAGGTCGTATGACACGCATGAAAGGTCTGTGCGAATCATATATAGGGCATTTGAAGCGTGGGCGTTGATCTACAGGGGGTACATGCTCACTTGAACCGCGTTTTCTGCCTGAAGATAAGCACTTGGGATCCCATAGTGGCTTAGAGGACGACATCCCCTGTTAAGGCCAAGACGCAAATATGTTCAGCCAGCAGGGGCCCGTCCCGAAACAGTGTGAGCCATTCAACGTAATTCTGTTGGGGGCGTTTGATTAGTCTATCTTCCAACCCACTAGGCGTTTGGTATCACCGTCGCGCACCAATTAATATATGGTTGGGCAACATAGCTGCGGTGTTGCTTTGCGATGTCGGCTAGGATGAGACTGGACAGTGTTGAAAATTGCAACCCAAGTGTATGTTGGGTGGAATGAAGATCCATGTGCGAAACAAAGTGAGATGGAAACATACAGGTGTATTGCAGATGGTTTCATTATATGTCAGGCCAGACGGACGATGTAGCCCGCCTCTTGGATTTGGTAATGGACGGAATAAGTTCATGTATTCCCTCACAACAGGCTGAGCCGTGCACCTATCCCAGACAATTGCACGCACAGGAATGCCGTGCATCAGACAACTTACACTTTATCTCCATATGTAAATGCCCCCCGTCGGCAAGCCGAATCGCAGCGGGGAGGACTTGCCTGTTCTTCAGCAAAGCATTCCTCCATCGCAACAGCCACAGAACATTAAGAGCATATAATTCTTGGTCTCTGCAGAGCATAAAATGGTGACCACGCAGAGTATTTCCCGACAACGACCTGGTTCCGCCTGCGAGGAATGTCGTCGACGCAAGGTCCGCTGTGACCGTCGACGCCCACAATGCCAAGTGTGCTTCGAGACTGGGATCGATTGTAAGATAAGCACCACGAGACTTCCAAGGGGACCGCGAAAGGGTCAGCTACGTACATTGAGAACACGAATCGGTAAGTCTTGTTCGGTGTCGGCAAAGAAAAGATTGGTGCTCATATTGGCCAGCTGCCCTTGAACGTTGTCTGGCCGATCAGCATCCGGGAATCAATCAGCAAATGGCAGGGCTGTTTGATGGTTCTGGAGTTGAATGTGACTCTGAAGAAGATCCTATCCGTGATAGAGCCACACTGCCTGAACAAATTCCCGAAATATGTTCCGACGATCAGCAAGGAGGTGGGTCGCCACGGTCCCCCAATCCTCAGTCCCGACCATGCGGACTAGTGTCCGATCTGATGCGCGCAGATCTGTAAGGCGCCATACCAAAAGCTCGACACATTCCCAAGGCGCAAACTAACCCTTACAGAGACCAATTGTACTTTGATCGTGTGCATCCCTTTGCTCCCATTTTACAGCGCTGGCGCTATCACGTATGGGCGAAACAGCCCAGGAAGAGCGAAGCTCAGGTGTGCCTACAGTATGCCATGTGGACGGTAGCCGCTTCGTCATCGGCCCATTTTCAGTGTCTCCGAGACACCCTGTACCAGGAAACGCGCCGGATGTTGGATGCCATGGACCTCCAAAGTCCCATTGGCGGGATAGTAGCAGTGGAGCAAGCCCAGGCATGGGTATTGGTTTCTGTTTACGAGTACATGCAGCTGTCGCCTCAGCAGGCTTGGATGAGTGCTGGTAGATGTTGTCGGCTGGTCTTGGGTATGCGGCTGTACGAGATAGATGATCCTAATAGCCCGGTAACAATAGCTCGGGAGCATGAACCGAACTTAGTGGATTGGACTGGGCTGGAGGAGCAGCGGCGAACCTTTTGGATGGCCTATTCCCTGGATCGGTTTATCAGTTTCCACAACGCGCTGCCATATACATTAAATGAACAGCTGGTATGTCATATTATCAAGGGGGGATATTACGCATCTAATTAGAGCAGATTGCGACTCGGCTGCCAACATCGGAGGAAGACTTTCAAGCTGGTCATCCTGCAGCAACTCAGTTTCTGCCGGAAGTGATGACGGGCTACTCAAGCAGCCATAGCTCTAGCGGCCAATCATCCTTTAGCGAATGCGTCATTCTAGCCACAATATGTGGCCGGGCACTCTCGCACAGACAGCAGTCGGCTGTGGAGCAGATCAATGGAGATTTGGCTGATGGACTGTGGACTCGGCATCAATGGTTGCACGAAATGCTCACCTATCGGATCCAGCTGCTCTCCGTGTCAACACATGTCGACCCAATGCTCATTTTCGCGAGGATTGTAGCGCAAACTTTGGTTTTGTTTCTACATAGCGTACTAGAGGGGATAACATGGAAGACAGGCGAGCATTTGCTAGGTATCTTCGAGTACGAGCGTCTTTGCGTGATGGCGGCGCAAGAAGTTGTTAGCTTGGTAAAGCTACAGGGCCAATTAGGATATTTCAAGGTACTCTGCCTATATGACTAGCCAGAGAAAGTTTATTCACAGTTATAGGTGCATCCATTGACCCCGATCCCGATCATGATGTGTACCGAGTTCTTCACGGCACATGCGCATCTTGATGACTCCTTTGATATCATGCTGCAGGAACTGCTTGAGTGCCTGCAGGATTTGGATCGTGTGAAGAATCTGAGCCAGAGTCCCGGGATATCTACTTAAGATTTAGATTGGTGTCTTCTAATGGGGTCATGAACATACCTAGAGCATATCGACGTGTCCTACTAGTTCTGTCCATTTGGTGCGGAACAAAGCATTTGATTATATGTTAATAGTGATCATCTAGGACAGGATTTGGGTGGATCATAAGTAATCAGCTCTAGTTGGTAGAAACGGCCCTTTCATGCTAAATAGGCTTTACCTTCCTTGATCAAAGCCATATTGTATGATGGCTCTATGTGGGAACGGCCTGTGCCCCGCACGTTGGGCATATGCCTTGCTGGGATTGCTCCGATGACACCAATATCAGTATTCCAAATACCCAGAAGAGATACGCATCTGGCAAGAAATCAGCTGTAACAAAAGAGCGGAGAGCAGCTACCGTGCGACATTGGGACAACTATCACTGGCCCATAGATTGTTTGTGTATGTTCGTTGTCTGAGAGTACGAATGGATCAGTCAGCCACCCCGAGGAGATGACCCGACGATAAACTCCGTCCGGCAATGGCTTTCGCTAAAGCGATATTAATACACTTGGGATAGACCAGGCCTTATCCAGGGTAATAATCAGCCAGTGTATTTGTCTGGAGCTTCGGTCAGATGGTGGCTTGACTCATGGCAGGAAGCAAAAAGGGTCTCATTTGGACAGTGCTATAGCCTCCCACCCCGGCCCTCCTTTAACTTTTCCATTTTAATGAGCCGCCCTTATCGGAAATTTAACTAATATGGCAAGCCAGCTGGAGCCTCAGGGTGGTGGTAACACTGTCCTCATATTCGGCTGCCAATGTGTCTCGTTCAATGTTGAAGACTTCCTCCGTCTCCGGGCTACTGTCCTGGATATGCCAGAGCATCGATGGATCCAAGATGTTCTGTCGGAGCTGCCAGTATACTATCACACAGCAGCGACGACATATGTTCAGAAACTGAAGACGATCCCCGGGACAGAGCAGCTCCGCAACTTAGCTGAATGGTTCCGCACGGGACAAGTGCCGACTGACAGCTTTCCATTGCCGTATATCCAACTTGCCCCACTATTAATGATAACCCATTTTACGGAATACTGGAATTATCTTCGCCTTAGGCACCCTAAAGGCCCAACTTGTGCCAATGAGCCATCGGCAAAAAGTCAGGTCGTGGAGATTGTAGGGTTTTGTATTGGGTTCTTAAGTGCTGCTGTTGTTTCAGCCGCCAGTAACCAGGAGGAGTTATCGAAATATGCCGCTGTCGCTCTAAGGCTAGCGACACTGATGGGCGCCCTTGGCGATGCGCAGGAGAGAGAAGAGGAGTATACATCTCTTGCAACGGTCTGGAAAGGCGTCGACATAGGGGAAAGGTTGCCATCGGTTTTGGAGACATTTCCGGAGGTACGTCCATTGACCGATATGGGACCACAGGAGTTGACAAAGTAGTCATACATCACGGTACGATTCGACACCAACCGGGTTACTATCATGACCCCACGTCGGACTATTAAGCAGCTAGAACAAGAGTTGCAGTCTGCTGGATTCAGTACGACGCAAGTTGAATTCAATGGCAGATATCACTGGGCTGGACATGAGGATACATTGCATGCACTGAGCCGAATGTGCGATAGCGATCCAGCCTTGCAACTACCCGATGCCACACAATCAATGGTTCCCACGCGACCTAATAAGTCGATTGAGACTCCTCCTGAAGGCCCTCTTCATGAGTTAGTATTACGGTCAGTCCTAGCACAGCAGTGCCAATGGCTTGATACATTCTCCAGTGTGTACCACGCTCACCTGGAAGATACTCCATCACTCATCATTGAATTTGGACCAGAACGGTGTATCCCGCCTACATATATACGCAAGCTACAGGGACGCACCGTGCACTTTGCAGATCTCGATGTGAACCCA